TGGTTGAGAGCTTTTAACACGTTTCTGAAATATAAAAAGTAATTGGAAACTTGATGCAGATAAAACAGAGTAGAGGAAGTGAGAATAAGTTTATGAGATATTTGCAACAAGGAAGAGATCTTGTCTGTGGTAGAGCACCACAGAGGCTGTGGGTATAGTGATAATAGATACAGAAAATGGAGATGAAATGAGTGGCTAGAAATAGGGGTATTAATTAAAAGTGTGTCTATGAAATAGTTGTGTCATTCAGCTACCAACATACTCCCACACTTATGTTCAGCATTTGTCCATAGAAAGTGCATTGGTGAGTAAAGAATTATTAGGCCAGGATTCGTGGAAGGACAGAAGTCTAATGAGGGGAGCCCAGAATTTGGGGCTGTCTTTCCCTTTAGGGCATTTTGAAAATTCAGGAATGAGCAACTGAGAAATTGAGTAGTGTTTTGGACTGTCTATGTAGCTTGGAGACAGGATTTGAGTGTAGGGTCTTTAAAAGAGGCCTAGTGAACTTCCTATGCTTTGATTTGGGACCAGTAAAGGGTTGCATCCTAGATGTAAGAATGAACCAGAAGAGTCCCTTGCAGGTACTACCATTCAGCTTCAAATCATCTCATTTGAGAACTTGAACTTGTGAACCCAAATTGCTAGTGTCCCCAGGTACCCAGCAGAAGTAGATGTAAATTATCTCTAGAGGAAGATAACATCATAGTGCATATCAATTTATTTCTAGATGGCAAACAGTTTTATAAGTATGAGCTCTAGCACACAATCAAAAATAACTATACAGACAAGGAAATTAGACAACAGCACAAACAACAGAGAAAGGAAACGGATCTACAGGGGATATTGGCAATATTGGATCCAAACTTTAAAATAACTATGACGTTATGTTCAGGATGATAAAAGGCAAGATGAAAAATTTTTGGTGGAGAAGTAAAAAAAAAAAACATAATAGAAATTCTAGAACTGTAAGATAAAGTAATTGAATTTTGAAGTTAATGGATGGGTTTAACAGCATATCAGATATAACTAAAGAGAGAATTAATGGCCTGAAAGATAAATTAGAAAAAAATAGAGTGAAGCCTGCAAAGACAAAAGGGTAGGAAAATACAAAAGAGAAGATGTATTAGTTTTCTGTTACTGCATAACAAATTACCACAAACTTGTGGTTTAAAACAACACCCATTTATAATTTCATAGTTCTACAGATCATAAATCTGAGTGGGCTGCCCAGGTTCTCTGCTCAGCATCACATAGGCTGAAATCAAGATGTCAGCTGGATCGGGCTGTAATCTGGAGCCTCTGGGGAAGAATCTTCTTCCAGGTGCTTTCAAGTTATTGGAAAAACCCAGTTCCTTGCAGCTATAGGTCTGAGGTCCCCATTCCCTTGCTATCTGTCAGCCAGAGGCCACTCTGCTCCCAGAGACTCCCACATTCCTTCTCACATAACTTTCCATCTTAAAGGTAGCAATGTCACATCTAGTCCTTCTCAGGATTCAAATCTCTCTGATTCCTCCTCTCACCAGCCAGAACAAACTGTGCTTCTTAAGAACTGTTGTGATTAGATTAGCCCCCATCTCCCTTTTGTTAAATTAATGAGTATGTTTAGCTCCATTGCAGGACACAGGCAATATGATGGATGGATGGATGGATGGATGGATGGATGGATGGATGGATGGATGGATGGATAGATAAAACACCTAGAAATTGACAGAACAAACCACTTTAGAAAATAATTTGGTGTTATCTACTAAAATAAAATATATACAGTCCCACTGTTAACTTATCTACTCATCGGAAATTCATGCATAGGGGACCCGAGGCCATGTATGAGAATGTTTGACTGTGTTTTTTGTAATTGCTTGAAAACTGAAAACAACATTATGTCATATAGTCATGCAAAGGAATATTATAGCAATGACACAAAATGAATTATAGTTATGCAAAGCAACAGTGGATGAATCTTACAAATATCATGTTAAGTGAAAGAAGTCAGACACAGATGAATTCAAAATCCAGGCAAAAATAAACTGAGGGATGGGGCTTAAAGATGCATGTTCAGCTGGTAAAAGCAAGGAAGTGATTGTCGTAAAGTCAGAAGCAGTTAGGGGGATAGGAGGGACAGTGATTAGTACGAGTTGTGGGGCACTTTGGGAATGCTGACAAAGCATGCTCTTTGTGATAAGTTATTGAGTTGAGGAATAAGCTTTGTCTCCAACAGCACTCAATGTTGGAAATCGGGAGTTCAGAGAGAAAATTGATTTTGGATTTAGAAGACAAACTATCAAGGGTGAGGGCAGAGGAAGATTATTTATCTCCCTACACTTTCTCTGAGGAAATTTCTTGAGAATGTACTCCAAGAAAGAGAATACAATAATGTGTAACACAAGAAACAGTGGAGGCCAGTGAAAAGTCCCAGGGTGTTAGCTATGCAGCAGATCTTGAAAGAAATGCCAAGAAAATGTTTTCAGAAAGAATGGAATAGATTCCAAACAATAGATAATGTAAGAATGTAGGAAGTACTGGTGATGGACTTAAATAGGTATATTTCTCTTCCCTCTTGTTTAAAAAATCCTTACCCAATGATATTGTTCCATTTATCTTCAGATAGAGTGGAAGGGAGAAAGAAACATCAATGTGAGAGAGACACATCAACTGGTTGCCTTCCACAGGACCCGGACCAGGGCCAGGGACCAAACCCCGGCACATGCCCCTGACCAAAATTAAACCCACAACACTGGTCCTCGTGCTGACACTCCAGTCACTGAGCTATTTCTCTTTGCTTAATAATAAAAAACAAACTTGTATTAGAAACTTACAGTGGAAAAGGTAGAAAATTCATGGGCCTACTATAAAATAAATTAAAAAGGATATGATGTTTGAGCATTTGATGGAATATAAGAAAAGAGAATCCATTTGACCTTGATGCTGGAAACAATCTCACTCTTTTATTAATGGCAGCAAGCCATGTGATCTTTAGAAAATGAAATGTAATCCCAGTTCTGCAACCAGTAATATTTCCATGCATACACTTTGTGTCTTGACTTTCAATTTTTAGTCACATTCTAAGTAAGAGATACAGAAAACTTAGTTATAGAGATTGGATAGATGTGTTATCAGGCTTGACTGTGTAAGGCAGAAGTTTGGAGGGAAGGAGTAGAGAGCTGGAAGAAAAAGGTCATGGATATAATAGTTTCATTTTACATACTGGGGAGACAAGAGGGTCCTTTGGAAGTTGATGGAACAGAAGTTTGGACATGTTATTTAAAGTTACACAGTCAACCAAGATAAAGTTAAAAATAACATGAGAGCAAAAAACAGAGGAGTTGAAGTGTCTAGTAAGTGACTTAATTCTCAGTTTTTATAATAGGGAATGAATAGATAATTTCTAAAATTAATAATGATGAAATAGTGATAAAAGTATATTCTTTGGAGTTGATAAGTAATCGCAAGAAGTAACACCAGGAAAGGAGTTACTCCTGGAGTGGGAACCAGGAGTGGGAAAGTGTGTGTCTGCTGAGATGCTCAGAATTGGTTCGTTTGACTGATTTTGGACAAAAACTGTTGAGGTAAAAAATAGATGTGTCTGTTTTTCATATTCCGAGACTGAGAAGTATATATAGGTACAGATACATGTGTGTATAAATACGTTAGTTAATGATTTGTTTCAAAAATAGATTTCTCTTTAACATTTTATAATTTATAGGAATGTTACATTTACATATGGGCATGTGAATTGACATATGTGTAAACATGTACACATTATGTGAACTGAATTAGAGGAAAAAATAATTCCAAAATGATATGAGGTTTCTAACCATTCTTAACCAAATGTTGCAGTGGACAACTTTCAATGTAAAAACAGACTGAGGGCAGGAAGAGATAAACCAAAGAACTTATATGCATATAGGCATAATCAGTGGACATAGACAACAATGCAGTGAAGGCAGGGGGTAGAGGGCAACAGTGAAGAGGGGGTTGTCAATGGGGGGGAATGGAGGGACATCTGTAATACTTTCAATAATGAAAATATATAACAAAAAATAAGAACAAGTTGAATTAAGTTAGGGTTGTTTGGCAAAAAGCATTATTCATAGAGGTAAGTATAAGCCATGTTATAAACAGAATAGGATAAAGAAATAGAAACTGTATTTTAAATAGCACTTGGGTTTTCAGGTGGTCTTTAGCAGCTGTTAGCCCCTGATGCATAGCCAACAGACAGTAACACAAATAGTACTTGTTTGAAATTAGTTCAAAATGGGCAATCAGGCTACTCAGTTTTTTTCTATTTTCTGGAGGATAATGAACCATAAACTTCAACTGGGAACTTGAGATGCTGGAAACACAGGCTCTAGAAGATTCTATTTTTACTATACAAGTATGAGGTGGTGTTTCTAGTAGAATTTTATATATAGCAATTGCATATGTTAGGGATTTTGTATCTAAGGGATTTACCATGAGCTGAGATTTGGGCTTCTCTTTTCTTTTTAGATTCTTTCATCTGGAAAAACACACTCAACCAAAGCTTACATTTATTATATTCTTTCATGAGCTCAACCATTCCTCCACTGTGATACTCCAAAATATAATTCTTTCTGTTATAACCATTGGCTTTTTTTCCCAACTTACTGGCATATTTAAACTGAAGATTTCATTTCTTGACTGGTGTTATATGCTCTATATTAAATTATTTGGTTCTGAATATAATGATATCAACTAATATAATGAGAAGTCAACATGCCAGGGATTGCCAAACCCCATCCTAACTGTAGCTGCCATATCTGTGCTTCTGTAGAGGAGTCAATCTACTCTGCACCCTCAGCCAGCTCACCTGGCTCTTCATGTGTAGAAGTACCTCAAGTGGAAACAAGCAGAAAGATTTTTCCTTTTTATTACTCATTTAAAACAATCATACTTTGACTGTATATTATAAATTGCTGTATTTTCTGAAATCATTTTAATGGATTGCTTATTATATTGTTTATTATATTTCCTAATTTTAGTGCTGCTTTTGATACAGTTCTTGGGATAAATGTTGCAGTCAAGAAACTAAGCCGTCCTTTTCAAAATCAAACTCATGCAAAGAGAGCTTATCGTGAACTCGTGCTCCTAAAGTGTGTCAATCATAAAAATGTAAGTTATGTCTGTGTTTCCTGAGTATACTTGATGTTGTCAGTGATGCGATCATCATGTGGGTCACAATGAGTCCAGACCTAGGGTAACCTGGTGATAAAAATAACTATTTAAATGGTTATACTTTATTAATAACATTTTTCTCAACATCGGGGCAATTAAAGTCAACAAGAGGCATTATGGTCCATAACAATTTAGGTCACTCAGCAGGGAAAGGAATGTTAATTAACCCTGTATGTTCTCCTATACAGTGAGTACCCTTTTCATTTTGAGGATGGTTTCTTTTGCTGTGCTTTTCAGTTTGATGTAGTCCCATTTGTTTATATATTCCTTTGTTTCTCTTGTCCTAGGCAATGTATTGGTGAAAATTCTGCTACATGAAATGTCTGAGATTTTGCTGACTGTGGTTTCTTCTAGGATTTTTATGGTTTCACGATTTACATTTAACTCCTTTTTATCCTTTTTTTTTTGTACAGATAGAGTGGGAGGGAGAGAGAGAGAGAAACATGGACATGGAGGGACACATCGAGTGGCTGCCACCCGCACTACCAACCAGACCCGGGGACAAACTGCAACCGAAGTACGTGCCCTTAGCGGGAACTGAACCCGGGTCTCTCCGGACCGCAGGCCGACGCTCCAACCGCTGAGCCAAACCGGCCAGGGCTCCTTTTTATCCATTTTGAGTTTATTCTTGGGTATGGTGTAAATTGGTGGTCTAGTTTCTTTTCTTTCTTTTCTTTTTTTTTTTTTTTTTTGGTTCTACCTATTCGATTTTCCCAACACAATTTATTGAAGAGACTGTCTCTACTCCTTGTATGTTCTTCCCTCCTTTGTCAAATATTAAGTGAGTGTAATGGCTTGGGTTGATTTCTGGGTTCTCTGTTCTGTTCATTAATCTATATGCCTGTTCTGGTGCGAGTACCAGGCTATTTTGATTACAATGGCTTTCATAGTATACTTTGATATCCGGTATTGTGATCCCTCCAACTTTGTTCTTTCTCAAGATTGCTGTGGCTATTTGGGGTCTTTTTTGGTTGCATAAATATTTTTGGATTATTTGTTCTTGATCTGTGAAACATGCTATTGGTATTTTAATAGGGATTGCATTGACTCTGTCAATTACTTTGAGTAGTAGGGACATTTTAATGATATTAATTCTTCCAGTCTATGAACATGGTATATGCTTCCACTTGTTTGTATCTTTCTCTATTTAATTTTTCAATGTCTTGTAGTTTTCTGAATACAGGTCTTTTACCTCCTTGGTTAAGTTTATTCCTGGGTATCTTAATTTTTGTGTTGCAATGGTAAATAAGATTTTTTTTTTTTTTTTTTTTTTTTTTTTTTAGTTTCTCTTTCTGAGAGTTCATTATTGGTGTATAAAAAGGCCATCAATATTTGGATGTTTATTTTACATCCTGCTACTTTGCCGAATTCATTTATTAAATCTAGTAATTTGGTGGAGTCTTTTTTATTTTTATCATCTGAGGACATTTTTCCATTTTTTTGTTCAGATAGATTAGGAGAGAGAGAGAGGAAGAGAGAGAAACATCGACATGAAAGGGACACATTGAATGGCTGCCTCCCGCATGACCCAACCAGGGCCAGGGACAAACTGCAACCGAGGTACGTGCCCTTAGTGGGAACCGAACCCGGGTCTCTCTGGACCGCAGGCCAACATTCTAACTGCTGAGCCAAACTGGCCAGGGCTTTTGGTGGAGTCTTTAGGGTTTTCTATGTACAATGTGTCATCTGCAAATAGTGACAGTTTCACTTCCTTCTTTCCCATGTGGATGCCTTTTACTTTTTCTTCTTGTCTGATTGCTGTGGCTAAGACTTCCAGTACTATTTTGAATAAGAGTGGTGAAAACTGACATCCCTGTCTAGTTTCTGTTCTCAAATAAACACTTTTAGTTTTGCCCACTGGGTATGATGTTGACTGTAGGTTTGTCATATATGGCCTTTATTATGTTGCATTGTGATTCCTCTACCCCTGCTTTGCTGAGAATTTTTATTGCAAATGGGTGCTGGATTTTGTCAAATGGTTTCTCTGCATCTGTTGATATGATTATATGATTTTTATCTTTCATTTTGTTTATTTGATGTATCACATATTTTGATTTGTGAATATTGTACCAGCCTTGCATCCCTGGGATAAATCCCATTTGGTCATGGTGAATAATCTTTTTAATATATTGCTGGATCTGGTTTGCTAATATTTTGTTAAGGATTTTGGTGTCTATGTTCATCAGGGATATTTTTCTCTTCTGCAGGGGGTATTTTTTACTTATTTTAATTAATTAATTTATTTTTATTACAGATGTTACTCCTTTTTCTCCCCCAGACACCCTCCTACCTATTCCACCTCCCACCCCCACCCCACAAGCATTGTTGTCTGTGTCCATTGGCTACACATACATGCATATAAGTTATTTGATTTATTTCATCCCTCCCCTCCCGCGCCCCTCCTCTGAAGTTTGTCAGTCTGATATTTTCTTTTTTATTATTATTATTTTTTAAAATATGTTTTTATTGATTTTTAGGGAGTGAAATACAGAAACATTGATTTGTTATGAAAGAGAAACATTGATTGACCTCCTCCTGCATGCTCCCTACTGGGGATTGAGCCTACAACCCAGGCATGTGCTCCTCTCAGTTCATGGGACGACACTCAGTTCACTGAGCCACATCAGCTGGGCAGGGATATTTTCTTTCTTTGTAATGTCTTTATCTGGTTTTGGAATTAGGCTAATGTTGACTTTATATAAAGAGCTTGGAAGTCTTTCTTCCTCTTGAATTTTTTGGAATAGTTTGAGGAGGATAGGTCTTAGGTCTTCCTTGAGTGTTTGGTAAAACTTACCTGTGAAGCCATCCCATCCCATCCAGAACTTTTCTTTGCTGGGAGTTTTTCTTTATTACTGCTTGAACTTCATTAGTTGTTATTGGTGTATTCAGGTTTTCTTATTCTTATGATTGAGTTTTGGAAGATTGTATATTTCCAGGAATTTATCCATTTCACCCAGATTGTGCAATTTGTTGCATATAGTTGTTTGTAATATTTTCATCTTTTGTATTGCTGTGGTTTCAGTTGTTAGTTCACCTCTTTTGTTTCTGATTTTTTTTTATTTGGGTCCTTTCTCTTTGTTTCTTGATGAGTCTGGCTAGAGGTTCATCAGTCTTGTTTATCTTTCCAAAGAACCAGCTCTTGGTTTTACTGATCTTTCGTAAGATCAGTATGATGTGTCTTGGTGTGGGCCTCTTTACTGATCATTGTTTAATAACAACATACTATTTAGCCTCCATGTGTTTGAATGTTTTTTATTTTTTTTTATTGTAGTTGACTTCTAGTTTCATGCCATTGTGATCTGAGAAGATGCTTGATATGATTTCAGTCTCCTTGAACTTGTAGAGATTTATTTTGTGTTCTAACATGTGTCTGTCTTTGAGAATGTCCCATGTGCACTTTAGAAGAAGGTATGTTCTGCAGTTTGGGGATCAAATATTCTGTGAATGTCAATTAAAGCCATCTGATCTAGTGTATCATTTAGGGTCATTGTTCCTTACTGAGTTTTTGTCTGGAAGATCTTCAGTGAAGTCAGTGGAGAGTTCTATTACTGTATTGCTGTCAATCTTCCCTTAACGTTATTCAAGAGTATTTTTATATATTTATGTGTTCCTATGTTGGGTGCATATATGTTTAGCAGAGTTATGTCCTCTTGTTGGAGCAATCCTTTTAGTATTATGTAGTGACCTTCTTTATCTCTTGTTATGGCCTTTGCTTTAAAGTCTAGTTTGTCAGATACAAGTATTGCTATCCCTGCTTTTGTTTTGTTTTCATTTTCATGAAAAATTTTTTTCCATCCCTTCATGTTCATCCTCTGTGAGTCTTTTGTTGTGAGGTGTGTCTCTTGTAGACAGCATATTATGGGTTATATTGTCTTATCCATTCAGCTACCCTGTCTTTTGATTGGACCATTTAAGCCATTTACATTTAAGGTTATTATTGATAAGTACTTATTTATTGCTATTTGTATTCTTTATGCCTGTGCTTCTCTTTACATATATATATTTCTTATTATTATTACAACAGTTCCTTTAACATTTCTTGTAATGCTGGTTTGGTGGTAATAACCTCTTTAGCCTTGTGTTTTTCTTTTTCTTCTGGGAAGTTCTTTATTTCACCTATTTTTTTTTTTTTTTTTTGGTGGTACATGCCCCTAGCAGGAACCGAACCCGGGATTCTGTGGTCCATAGGCCAATGCTCAACCACTGAGCCAAACTGTCCATGGTATCCTTGCTTTTCATTACCTTGAATACTTCATACCATTCCTTTCTGGCCTATAGTGTTTCTGTTGAAATCAGCTGACAGATTTATGGGGGTTTCTTTGTAGGTAACCTGTTGCTTTTCTCTTGCTGTCTTTAAGATTCCCCCTTTGTCTTTAATTTTTGGCATTTTAGTTATGATGTGTCTTGGTGTGGGCCTCTTTGGGTTCTTCTTGCTTGGGACACTCTGTGCTTCCTGAACCTGTGTGCCTTTTTTCCTTTACCAGGATAGGGAAGTTTTCTGCCATTATTCCTTCAAACAGATTCTGTATCCCTTGCTCACTTTCTTCTTGTTCTGGTATTACTATGATGCCTATATTGTTACGTTTCATATTGTCTCACAGCTCTCATAAACTGTCCTATTTGTTGGTTTTGTTTTTCTGGTTTTTATTAATTTATTTTTGTTACAGATGTTTCTCCTTTTTCCCCCCAGACACCCTCCCTTTCATTCCACCCCCCCAAAATCCCCCAGCATTGTTGTCTATGTCCACTGGTTATGGATACATGTATATAAGTTCTTTGGTTTATCCATTCCCCCCATTCCCCTCCTCTGAGGTTTCAACCGTATTCCTTTCTGTGTCTCTGGGTCTATTTTGTTCATTATATTCCACAATAAGTGAGATCATGTGGTATTTGTCTTTTTCTGATTGGCTTATTTCACTTAGCATAATGCTCTCCAGGTCCCTCCATGTCACCTCAAAGGATAAGAGGTCTCTCTTTCTTACAGTTGCATAGTGTTTCATTGTGAAATGTACAACAGCTTTTTTATCCAGTCATCTATTGATGGACACTTGGGCTGTTTCCAGATCTTAGCAATTGTAAATAGTGCTGCTATTAACATAGGGGTACATATATTTTTTCTGATTGGTGTTTCAGGCTTCTTAGGATATATTCCTAGAAGTGGGATCACTGGGTCAAATGGCAGATAAGTTTTTAATTTTTTGAGGAAACACCATATTATTTTCCATAGAGGTTGCACCAGTCTGCATTCCCACCAGCAGTGTACTAGAGTCCCCTTTTCTCTACACCCTCGCCAACACTTGTTGTTTGATTATTTGTTGATGGTAGTCATTCTGGCAGGTATGAGATGATACCTCATAGTTGTTTTAATTTGTATTGTCTTCCTGGTTTTTGTTTTTGTTTTTATCTTCACCCGAGGACATTTTTGCATTTATCTTCAGATAGAGTGGGAGGGAGAGAGGGAAGAAGAAAGAGAGAGCAACATTGGTGTGAGACAGACACATAAACTGGCTGCCACCCACATGACCCAACTGGGGCCGGGGATAAACTACAACCAAGGTACATGCCCTTAGCAGGAACTGAATCTGGGACTCTCTGGTTCATGGGCTGATGCTCTAACTGCTGAGTCAAACCAGCCAGGGTTGTCCTCCTGTTTGTTAAATGTTTTTTCTTTTTGGTTCTCTGATTGAGTGATTTTTTTTTCTACCCTGTCTTCTAATTCACTGATATGATCCTTGGCTTCCTCCAATCTGCTGTTTATTCTTCCAGTGTATTGTTTATTTGTGTTATGTCATTCTTCATTTCTGACTGGTTCTTTTTCATAGTTTCTATGTCTTTTTTCATTCTTATCATCATTACTGTGAACTCTTAGGTCTGTTAAATTGTTTATCTCCATTTTATTTAGCTCTTCTTCTGGAGAACTCTCTCATTCTTTCATTTGGGGCTTGTTTATTTGTCTCCCCATTTTGGCTATCTGTGTGGATTTGTTTCTATTTTTAAGTAGATCTTCGATGACTCTTAGTCTTGGTATGTCTTATGTAGTAGGTGACCTGTGGGACCCTGTGAAGCAGTCTCCCTGACCACCAGACCTGGGTGCTCTAATATGTCCCTTGTATGTGTTGTGTGGGCTCTCCTCTTGTAATTGAGTCTTCATTGCTATTGGCCTGTTAGTGCATGGGCTCCAGCCTCAGGTTGGCTGATAGTGAGACTTAACCCCCAACACAGTATGCAGGCTACTGTGCAGGTCCTTATCACATGAAGCAGAATTTGCTCAGCAGGGTTTGGAGCCTGCTAATGTGGATATACTAATTGTGAAGCTTATCGGATCCTGTTCTGTTGTTTTCTGTAGCTGTCCACTCAGCTTGTTGGTTTTGGGCCTCTTTGAAGGGTCTCTGGTATAGGTCAGTGTCAGACACTGTTTGTTATTGGCCCTGAGTACTCTGTTTGGAGCCATAAGCAATCCACAGCTTGTGGCTCTCTCTACCAGTGCTGGGTGCTTGTGGAAAGAACCAAGCTGCACACCAAGGTCTGCTTTTACTAGCCCAGTGCTGGAGCAGGTCAGGCAAAGACTCAAGGCACCCAGAGATCCACCACTGCCTACAGGCTGACTGGTAGTGTTAGTCACTTAATGAGCCTCAGACTGCAGTGTTCATCAGGGCTTAAACTCCACAGGGTGGGGTGAGAGGTTTTCCACGGGGTGAAGCAATTGTTTCCCCCCAAGGCTAAAACTGCATTGATGGGAAAGCTCTGCCTAAGAAGATGGCTTCTGCAGCATGGAGGAATGACTCAGCACAGAGATCCTGGTGGCTGCCCTTTCAGCTCTCTCCCCAGAGCCACCAACCCTAGACTCTCCCCATGCAGCTCTAGTTCACTCTGCCCTCCTTCTGCCGGAACCCAGTGTGAGTGGCTGCAAATGAAATTTTGTGTGTTGGCCCTTTAAAAGGGTGCCTATGTTTCTAGCTGTCTCTTCCTGGCAGACAGAACCCCTAGTGTTTCTCATAGCCAGATATCATATGGGCCCCTTTCCTGGTTCTGTTAGACTGGGCTGAGGAGCCAAGCTTGAGGTCTACACCCCAGACTTCTCAGGGGGAACCCCCCCACAGCTGAGATATCCCTTTTGAATTTCAGCTGCTGCCTGTGGGAACCACTTTCTGCCAGTCTCCATGTCGCCTCCTCTTTATGTCCTTGGTTATAAAGGTTCTCTCCAGCTAGTCTTCAGTTGGTTATTCAGGATGATTTTTCTATATTTTAGTTGTAATTCTAATTTGGTCTTAAGAGAAGGTCAGTGTAATTTCCACTTAATTCTTCACCATCTTGGAATCCCCCTGTTCTTACCACCTGAACTATTGATCTTTCATTTTACTTTACTGGTCTGACAGATGACAAATGAAATGTTTTTATTTGCGAGGTTGAATTTCTTTCCTTATCTCTTTTGGCCATTTATTTTTATTTCTTGAGAATTTGTATTCCATGGCCTTTGTCTATTTTTCTCTTGAGCTGTTGATTTCTTCCGTATGCATTCATAGAAGATCTTTGTACATTAAAGCTATCAATCCTCACATCTTTTCCATTTGACCTTATTTAGATTGATTTTGGTTTGGGATTAATGAAATCAAATCTCCTTGGTTTCCTATCATGCTTAGAGAAGACTTTCCTATACCAGGATTATATGTTTGTCTATATTTGAATATTTTATGGTTTCATGTTTTAGATTTAAATCTTTGTTCTATTCTGAGTTTATCTTGGTGTAAATAAAGAGCAAAATGTAGATCCAGTTTTATTTTGTTGTTGGCTAACCAGCCACCCCAATTTTATATACTGAATAATTTCTCTTTCCTTTGGTCATTTGAAATGATTGAGGATATGTGTTTGATGCTCAAGCAGCATTAGACTGTCAGGATCAAAGCTAAAGTGGGGTCTATTCTAGAACCCTCTTTAAGTAAATATATAATGCTATGAGTCATTTTATCTTTATCATACCAAAAATGCAACTTAGCCTTCATATTTAAAAGCTTTTTAGAAATTTGCACATAGTATTTAAGTTTTCAGAGTTAACATATTGCTTTATTTAGTATTTTTCTGCTCATAATTTGTACTTCTTTATGTTCAGAGTTAGAAAGACATTAAGTATTAGACTTCTTTAATAATAAATTACTAGTGACACACAAAAATAATTTAATTAAAACTATATCTTATTTCCAAGGTGAGAATCCTAATTATTTTTTTTCAAATACCATGTAATAAAATGTTTTTGATAAAAGTAATAATAATAAATACTGAGTTCTACTGTGGTTTTCCTCCCATTTTTGATGTTAACGTTAAACTTGATTTTTAGAGTCATCTGAAATGCTGAGATCTAAATAATTTTCTCTTTTCAGATAATTAGTTTGTTAAATGTGTTTACACCACAAAAAACTCTAGAAGAATTTCAAGATGTGTAAGTATCATTTTTATTCAGTAATGCATCAAAGACTGAATATTTAGAAAAGAAAGTGACTGCTTTTTTTTAATTAGGACAACAATACATTTTTAATATCTTAGCCACTTTTCTCTGTGGAAGAGAAATGTTAAGGAAATGGATAATAATATTTAACTATTTGTACCTAGATGGTTATCATCTCCATAACAGATAAGAAATGACTGGAAATAATTCTCCAGAGCAGAAGTGACCATTAATGCCACTGATTTGCTTTACTGAAATATAAAAATTTTTCTCTAGTTCCCCGAAAGTCAGGATTATAGGGTTTAGATTTTTACAATTATTGGAAATGGTTAATTCACTAAATATTGTGTGTTTCTAAAATCTGAAAGAGAATTATCTTACAATGAAGTGAAATATTAATTTATTATATTGAGATATAATGGCCAACTTTATCCTAAATTTATTGGTATAGTCATTCATTCAACAAATATTTGATTGCCATCTCTGTGCTCAGCCCTCTCTTGGACTCAGCATACTTTAGTGACCAAAAAACCAAAAATCCCTTTTATTACTTAAGAATTGCTTCCTAGAGTTTGCAGGAAAGCCAGGGAAAAAAAGAGAATCAACATAAAAAATAAGGCATTTATGTCATTCATTAGGATGTGCTGTGGAAGACGTGGAGCTGGATAAGGGGATCTGGCGTGCTGGGGCTTAAGAGCCAGGTTGCGGTTTTAAATAAGGTGGTTGGGTTGGGGAGAGATCTCACTGGATTGGTGACATTTGAAGAAAGCCATGAAGGAGGTTAGTCCTGCAGATATTTGAGGGAAGACTGCATTGCGATGGAAGGAACAGGCAGTGCAAAGGAGCAGAAATAGGAGCATGCATGAGGTCAGTGTTGCTGGAGCTCAGGGAGCAGAGGAAAGAGGAAGAGAAGGGACAGGACAGACACTGTTGGGCCTCTAGGCTATTGTAAGGATTTCTTTTTATTCTAAGGCAATTTGGTAAGACTTTCAGCAGAGGAGTGAGCTCACTTAACTTTCATTTTAAAAGAATACCTTTGGTTTCTGGGTTCAGAATCCATAAGGTATGGGGACACAGAAGACCAGTTGGGAAGTGATTATACCAATTCAGGTGAGAAATCATGGTGGCTTCATTTAGACCAGAAGGGTAATAATAAGGGTAAAGGGATGAGATTGGATGCTGAAACTGTCCTGAAGGTAGAACCATAGTGTTAGCTCTTAAAGAGGATGTGTGGTGTGACAGCCAGAGGAGTTGAGGATGATGCCTGGAATTTTGGCCTGATCAGCAGAAGATGAAAGTGCTCTCAACTGAAATGAGGAAGGCTACAGGAAGAGCATATTGGAGTAGGGTAGAATCAGGAGTTCATTTTTGGACATGATTTCAAGATGTCTGTTGTACACCCAAGTGCAACTGTGAAGTGGGAAGTTAGATAAATGAGCCTGAAGAGAGGTCTGGGTTGAAGGTTTGAATTCGTAGTTGATGGTCTATAGATGGTATTTAAAACCTTGAGACCAGAGACCAGAGGAGATCACCAAGACTGTGACAGAGACAAGTAGGTAAAGGACTGAGTGCTAGCACTCCAAAAATAAGAAGTTGGGGAGAGGAGAAGGGCACCATCCACCAGGAGTTAGCAAAATGGAAGTCACTGGGGGTCTTGAGGACAGTTTTAGCAGAGTAATGAGGGCAAAAACCTGATCAAAGTAGAATTAAGAAAAAATTAGAGAATTGGAAATGGTGAATATAGACACCTCTTTGGGGAGTTTTGCTTACAAAGGGAATAAAAATAGAAGCTGCTGGGGAAAATGAGGTGAAGTTATTTTTATTTTTTTTAATTAATTAATTTCCCAATTACAGATGACATACAATATTATATTAGTTTCAGGGGTACAATATAGTGATTAGACATTTATATACCTTACAAAGTAATGACCCCAATTAATCTAGTACCTACCTGGCACCCTATGTAGTGTAGTTATTACAATATTATTTACTGTATTCCTTTTACATCCCCGGCGATCAAGTTTTCTTAAGATGAGTGAAATAACAGCATGGCTTCTATACTGGTAAGAATGATTTAATAGCAAAAAATTTAAGATGTAGGAGAATTTGGATGTTTGAAGTTCTACTTACTATGATACAGAAATTGTTTTATTTTTAAAGATGTTTACAAAGTTCCATTAAACATTTGCTTCTTTTCAAGATACCTTAAAAATGCTCATAGAAAACAAGTCACCGTTTTACTTTAGCCAGTATATTAACTAGGTAGTAAATTACTACTGTTTCATAAAAATTCTGTTTTAATAGCCATATTGGGGTGATTTTCATATGTACGTGGCTGGTCTTTTTTCCCCTCAGGTATTTGGTTATGGAATTAATGGATGCTAACTTATGTCAGGTTATTCATATGGAGTTAGACCATGAGAGAATGTCCTATCTTCTTTACCAGATGCTCTGTGGTATTAAACACCTTCATTCAGCCGGCATAATTCATCGAGTAAGTAGTGATGCCATATTAATTTTATTTTTTAAATCATAATCATTTTGTTGTCAGAAGACTCCAGATGCAAAAGAACTTAATATTTTTAACAATTTTGTCACTGTTGAAAATCCAAATAAACTATGGGATTGTGTTGAGTTTCCAAATATTGTTGAGATCAGAAGACATTTGTGGAACACCTGATTGGCCTGGGCCCGTATGAGCCATCCTGGATGCAAGCCAGAGCCAGGTGTTCAGTTTGACACTGCAGAAGAATAGGACAAAGAGCTCCCAAATTCTGTTTATCTATATTCACCTGTTGTTTTTTTGGCCATATTTCAAATCCTATTTTTAATGAATCAAGGAATTAGATTTGGGGTGGGAGAAATTTAGAGCCAGGTAGTAAATGATATAGTTGTTTGAGAAATCTTATGTAAATTGTGGCCCAAATATTTGTAGGCTTTTTTGTTGTAAAATTCTGCCACTCAGCATCCTGGCCCCACTGGTGAGAGCTTTTGGAATGGCCTGAGATTTGAATGACAGAGTTTCCTGTACTATTGGGAAGATACAATGTAATTCTCTAAGCTACTTTTATGAGTTTTTATTTTTTTGACTTGGACTGCTGATAGAATTTTTTGAAACAACTAAAATGCTGAAATTAGAGGCAGAAATCGTGTAATTTTACTGGAATCATTCATAGCATGCTCTAAATTATTACTATACTAATTTTGTTCATAGTCTGTCTTTGGATACTGTGTTTCAACATCAAAAAGTTATTTCTTAGAACTAAATGTGTATGGGGAGGAAGATAGTGAGACAACAGCAATTCAGCATATCTGTACAGAGAAAAATAGGTTTTCATTGGTGTAGTAGATCCGTTAGGTTCCGGAAAAGGTTGGTTCCATCACAGCTGCTGAATGTAGGTCCCTGTGGTGACAGAGCCCACCAACCTAGAGAGGGCTCAGCCCTTGCTCCTCTCATGAGCCTCAGGTCTGCAGCCTGAGGCCAGGATGTGGGAGGCATCTGTGGTACTCCCCAGGGCCTGTCTCCCAGCCTGACTAGCTGACAGATGAGCACTTAACTCCTGACCAGAGTTGTTATGCAAAATACAGCCTTTGCTGCCACCAAGTGTTCAGTTAAAATAATACAAATTCTGTTGACAACTGCTTTAAAAGCTAATAACTCTTCAAAATTAAAAATGAAGATTTCCCAACATACCATTCTATTTCTCTTCCCAAAATTTTCACAGACCTTTATATAAATTAAAGCACTCTTAATAGCTCTTAAATATATTTTATATTGAATTCATGCTTTAGTATAAATACTCAGATTATTATGTTAAGCTGTATTAGCTTTGTAAAGGGAAACTGTTTGCTTTGTTTGTTTCTTCCCTCTTGAGCCTGGAGATTCATGGGAAAGAAATATCATCCAGTTGCTGGGACCCAGTAAGAGCTACAGCCAATACATACCTTTGTTAGGGAATATGCAGACCCTGCAGCTTGGGCCTACTGCTGCTGAGCAGTCAGATATGGTTCAAAGAAATTTTTGCTTTGCCCAGAATGGTATTCAGAAACCTGAGAAGACCTGAGCAAGTGATTCCATGGACCACCTCTCTATCCTGTTCACACCTTCTCCAGCCTGCCTGGCTCCCCACTTGTGAAAGTGCCAAATGCTCAATGTGGGAAAGGCAGATAAAACAAAAATAAAAGGCTCTGTGTGCCTACCTCACCCACCTCTCCAGGTTCTGAGAGGTGAGGAAATGCAGTTAAACCTTAGTGTGTGAACCTTTAGTTTGTGAACCCTTCCTGTCCTTTAGCCTGTATACAGTATCATGTCTGCAGATACACACTTTCAATTTTGCTCATTATGATGGTTTTATACTATTCATAGAATTTAGTTATTAAAAATAAAACACCCATAACCCCACCACTTTTTACTTTATATAATTCAAAAAACTTAAGAGTCCCCCAGCCCTCCACTGCCACCTGAAGGTGGCCAGTGAACAGTCTGAGTGTTTCTCCTTTTCTTTACACAGACACAAACTTCCTGCTTAAGCTGATACTAGTGTATCTGTTTATACTTACATCCTTTTTAACTTATATTTTTCAACAAGAAGATCTGCAACTTGCTGAATGAGCTAGTTGATTTGTTTTTCATTTCAATCAAGGATTAAATAGTTCTACAAATATTTCTTTAAAAAACAGAGCCCCCAACTCTTCCCTATTATTTCTCTCTCCCCAGAAGCAAACTCTTTCAGTTCTTTTAGTGTTAATTTCCATATCTTAAAATAATATGATTAGATCTCTATTTGTTGACCTTTTATAACTTAGGGCTTAAGGTACTGACTTAGCTCTCTTTCACCAGCCATGACCCTTACCTGTCCTGTTCCCCCACTTCCTGGTATTTACAGTGTAATTGGCATTGGATCAGTATTTATATTGTGTTTTATATCATTGCGACCATGTCAGTGCTTTTCACAAGCTGGGCCTCTCACCCGTGCTCTCCCTGGGCCTCACACCAGTGGGTCTGTTGGTGTTGAGTCTGAAGCCCATGTCTGAAAAGTTGGTTTCAGTTTTTCTAGATAATGAGCCAGTGGGAATGAAAAAGGAGTAGAAACTTCTCTCTTCTGGGAGGTCTCCTTTTTCCTTCCAGAAAGTTCCCTCAGTATCTCGCTTCCTGCATCACCCTGCCCTCCCCAGGACATGTCGCTTGCTTCCTGAGCTGTTCCTGGGTGTTGGTACAGATTGTCTCTCTGTAGGCCACTCGTACTCCCCTGGTAGCTGCCCATGGAGGCCATGCTTTAGTAGACATCCCCACATTCTATGGTCAGGCCCCCAAATTCAGGTGACATTGGTATTTTGACGTGTGTTCCTCGTTTTTCTTGTTTGGGGTGGGTTTTAAGATTTAAAGAGGCAGAATTGTCTTTACTTTGCTACCTTGAAATTGCAAGCCCAGTTCATCTTGGAAATCTGCCCCTGGTTGTGTGTGGAGCTGATGGGAAGGTGATGTGAGGAGTCCTCCAGGGCCTGGGACCTCTTTAACCTCTTCTATCCACATCATCTGCATTTTATCATCATTTTCCAGCAGATGGCAGTGAAGTGTGTTGTTCCAAAAAAAAGTCAGTACTAGATGACAAAGTTCTGACAGATGGATTTGCCTGTAGGTGGTCCTGTTTTCCAGTTCACTCAGGTTTATCTAGCTGGCCTGTGATACTGCTCTGGTCATATTCATTTGTGTGTGGCCCTGCTTTAGTTCAAGGCCAGGTTGGGTTGCAGAGGATGCTGGGTGGAAAAATATAGACATTTCAATTTTTTAAAAGTCAGCCTCCTAAGAAGAAAGCATCTACTACATTCCCCACCAAACCCATGTCCAGAAAGTTCTGCTTGGGCTTCTCCCACCAGTACAGGATGTTGCTTTTGTTTCTCTCCTCATTGCCACAGAAGAGAGTAAAAATGGTTCCTCAACATTTGAGGTTCAAAAAAAAAATGTTTTCATGAAAATGAGCATTATTTTATCTTTTAGTTATTTGTATTCTAAAATGCCTATTCTTGCCACATTCTTTGATTTTTGAAAAAGGAAACTAGAAACAAATTGGTTTGTTTTGTTTTGGCTGCCTTAACACGTGAGTCTCCTCACAGGGACAGTTGCCAGGTGGGTGTGGTCTGATCCTTCCCTGGCTTTACCTTGTGTAGAACAGTGGCTGCGGCAAGGGTGGCCATGCTTCCCAAGGACACACACAGGGCTCTGGGACAATTAGGGGCTAGGACATCTGCATAGGGCTTGGTGGGTATTTTCACTGCATTTACAAATATATATATATTTATAATTTATGTTTTCCTGAATCGGGAAGTTTAGAGAGTTTTTAACAGTAATGAAATGGAATTTTAGGTGTTTTAATTTTAAAATATTTCTCTACTTATTCCAGTAACACTTTACAGTGTCACACACCCATTTGCTGCATATCAGTCGGAAAGTTGTTTTGTGTGTGTGTGTGTGTGTGTTGTTCATCCTCACCTGAGGATATTTTTCCATTGATTTTTAGTGGGAGGGATGGAGGGAGGGAAAGAGGGAGAGATCAGTGTGAGAGAGACACATCAATTGGTTGTCTCCCACATGACTCTGACCAACCCCAAGTAGGGAATCGAACCTGGAACCCAGATATGTGCCCTTGACCAGGAATTGAACCTGTGACCCTTTTGTCCTCTGGCCAACACTCTAACTACTGAGCCAAACCGGCCAGGGCTCAATTGGAAAGTTTTAAGTCAGGTACTGGGCCTGAAATTCACGCTTTAGTCCCAGGTCCTTCCATTTGCTGTGACTTGGCAGTTTGATATTGCAGCTGCACATTGGAAAACTTGTGAATAGAATACATGTGGATTGTTTAGAAGTCACAGTTTCTAGGGTGAGTTTGCAGGCTCGTGTCCCAGGCAAAAGTCAAATTCCTGTGGCCTGAGGAAGGTGCTGGAGTGTGGGAGATTAGCATTAAGAAAGGCCCTATAGTTAAAAGAGGAAAAAATGACAAACGTTTTGTTAAAACATTGAAGAGTAGTGGAGTGTGACATGTGTGTCCACTCAGCAGACATTTTCTGATTGACTTTTCTGTCAGGCTTGGTTCTAAGAGTGGAGAGCACAGGAGGGCCTCCTTTCATAGAGCCTGCACTTGGAGGTGGGGGGGAGGTTAGATGTATGTATGTGTGTGTGTGTGTGTGTGTGTGCGCGCGCGAGCGCGCGCACGCACTGGAGAATGTGGGTCAGAGCAGGGGAGTGGTGGTTGGTGATCATAGAATTCTTTTACCAAAGAAAGAGTGAGCCGTGGGAAGATTCCCGGGTAAGGGAATTTTAGTCCTGTGCTGTCCAATATGGTAGTCACCCATCACATGAGGCTGTTGAGCACTCAGAATGTTGCTGTAATTGGATGTGACAGTACCAAAAAAAGAATATAAAATATCTCAGTAATAATTTTTATGTTGGTTACACTTTGAAACGATAAATAATACTATCAGGAAAACTCAATAAAG